TGTTGCCCAGACTGGAGTGCAATGGCACGATCTCGGCTCACTGCAACCTCCACCTCCTGGGTTCAAGCAATTCTCCTGCCTCAGCCTCCCGAGTAGCTGGGACTACAGGCACGCACCATCATGCCCCGCTAATTTTTGTATTTTTAGTAGAGACGGGGTTTCACCTTGTTGACCAGGATGGTCTCGATCTCTTGACCTCGTGATGCACCCGCCTCGGCCTCCCAAAGTGCTGGGATTACAGGCGTGAGCCACCACGCCCAGCGTGATTTATAGTCTTACAGATTTTTTTTATATGTAGAAGTGGTTTGTTAATTGGATCATGAAATCATTAACATTTTCTTAATATATCATAGCAATTCATATGCATATACAACTTTTTTTTAACCTATCTAATAAACCATTGTTGGATGTACCAAATTCATTTAACTATTTCCAAATTATGTGAAAATGCAGATTGCAATTCAGTTGGTCTATGCTACCTGAGATAATGCATTTTCAACCAGCTCCTAGGTGATGCTGCCTAAGTAGCAAAACTTACAGCTTCGGATACTTACCTTAGAGATAATCTTGCTCAGCCTCCTGATTTTAAACAGAGAGGAAACCAGCAATCTAGTGGCTCTTAAACATGCCTCTTCATTCTGTTGGATAAATCACTGCCAAGATAAATCTAATGGCACTATCCTCAGTTCTCTTTCCTCCCAATTACACTTGACACCAGTAAGACCTGAAATTATTTTTGTTTTCATAGGCAAATATCTCCTTCTCTTCTCAACCCCCACTGCTTCCTTTCACTTTCAAAGGACGACTTGATGTCCTGCTTTTGGCAAGTATTCCTAATTTACAATGACCATCCATTAAGTAGACAGCTTCACTTGAAACAGAAATGAAAGAAAATCCTGTCTGGATGTCCAAACCCTTGTTCTAGTATCATCCCATAACTCAGGAGCATCCCTTTCCTCAAGTTCCAAAAGATAATCTTGTATTATAAGGATACTTATAAACTTGCCCTTTTGTGCTTAGGTCAGCCAAAGTGTCTTTTTATTACTTTACTAAAAGTACATAAAGCGAACACAGGGAGATTTGTCAGTTCTTGAGAAATCGCTCATAAACAGGTTAATTCCAAGTTTTACATCCTGGCTAAATCCTGCCTCTTCCATTTCATAGCAATACAATCTCATCTCTAGCTGTCCCTTCCCTCTGTCTAGTATCCCTCACCTCACATGCTAGAATAGGAGTTACTAATCGATCAGGTTCTATCATGAGACTTTCATTAACCCTCCAACACTTGAAACATATTAGTGAGGTAAAAAAATCCATAGGGGCAGCTGAAACATCTAAATTAACTTCAACATTGTAATCTATCATCTGTTCCTCTACACACAAAGGTCATAGGCCAGGTGCAGTGGCTCACACCTGTAATCCTAGCACTTTGGGAGGCCAAGGTGGGCAGATAACCTAAGGTCAGGAATTCAAAACCAGCCTGGCCAACATGGTGAAACCTCATCTCCACTAAGAATACAAAAATTAGCCAGGTGAGATGGTGGGTGCCTGTAAACCCTGCTACTCAGGAGGCTGAGGCAGGAGAATCGCTTATATCTGGAAGGCAGAGTTTGCAGTGAGCCAAGATCGAGCCACTGCAGTCCAGGCTGAGCAACAGAGTGAGACTCCGTCTCAGAAAAAAAGGTCATATAAGGAACTGACACTGTTCCTTACAGAGCTCTGCTGTGATAAGCATATAAAAGTTTAAAGCTTTTGGATTCGCACCTCCTGTAGAACAGTAGCCTAAGAAACCCCATGCAATTCTTCAAGAAGGAAACTGGGGCCAGGTGCAGCAGCTCACGACTGTAATCCCAGCACTCTGGGAGACTAAGGCAGGAGGACCACTTGAGGCCAGGAGTTCAAGACTAGCCTGGGCAACACAGCAAGACTTTATCTTCACTTAAAAAAAAAAATCAGCCAAGTGTGGTGACACCAGCCTATAGTTCCAGCTACTTGGGAGGCTGAAGCAAGAGGATTGCTTAAGTCAAGAACATCAAGGCAGCAATGAGCTATGATTATGCCCCCGTACTCTAGCCTGGGCGACACAGTAAGACCTTGTCTCAAAAAAACAGGGATGCATTTTTGAGGGAAAGCCTGAAACATAACAGTGCAGTAGTCCCCCCCATCCACAGTTGCAACTACTCACAGTCCATCATGGTCCAAACACACCAGATGTAAAATTCTAGAAACAATTCATAAGTTTAAAACTGTAATGTTGTTTTTATTAGTGTGATGAAATCGTGTGCCATTCCACTCTGTTCCATCTGGGATGTGAATCATCTGCTTTGTCCGGCATATCCATGCTGTATACATTAGTCACTTAGTGTATACTAAGTGCTCATTAGCCATGTAGTAGCCATCTTGGTTATCAGACTGACTGTTGAAGTATCTCTGCTTACGTTCAAATAATCCTTTCTTTACTTAATAATGGCCACAATGAGTAGTAATGCTGGCTGTTTCGGTATGCCAACGAGAAGCTGTAAAGTGCTTCCTTTAAATGAAAAGGTGAAAGTTCTCAACTTAAGGATAAAAAGAAATTATATGCCTAGGTTGCTAAGATCTATACTAAGAATGAATCTTCAATGTCTGAAATTGTGAGGAAGAAAAAAATTCATGTTAGTTTTGCCGTTGCACCTCAAACTGCTAATGTTATAGCCACAGTGCATGATAAATGCTCAGTTAAGATGGAAAAGGGATTAAATTTGTAAGTAGAAAATAGAAACATCTTCCAATTGATAGCAACTGGGTTCAGCAGTAGCCACAGTTTTAGGGATCCACTGGGGATCTTGAAATGTATCCCCATGGACAAGGGAGTACAACTATAACAGATTTACAATTTCAGCAAAGTAAATGGTTGTCATTCTTTAAACATGGAATATAAAACTTTTTTTCAAAGTCTGTAGAAACCTAGGGCTCCATTGTGGTTACTCAGAGGCTCCTTAGTTAATTCATATTTATTTTTAAAAAGTCAACTTCCAGGTCAGGCATAGTAGCTCATGCCTGTAATCCCAGCACTTTGGAAGGCTAAGGTGGAAGGAATGCTTGAGCCCAGAAGTTTTAGACCAGCCTGGGAAACACAGTGACATCCCACCTCCACAAAATATTTAAAAAGAAAAGAAAATTATGGCTGGGTCAGTGGCTCATGCTTGTAATCTCAGCACTTTGGAAGGCCAAGGTGGGTGGAAGTGTTTGAGGTCAGGAGTTTGAGACCAGCCTGGACAACATGGTGAAACTGTATCTGTACTAAAAATACAAAAAATAAAATAAATTAGTTGGGCGTGGTGGCACATGCCTGTAGTCTCAGGTACTCAAGAGGCTGAGGCAGGAGGATCACTTCAGCCCAAGAGATGAAGGGTGCATTGAGCCTTGATCATACTACTGTACTCCAGCCTGGACAACAAAATGAGACCCTGTCTCAAAAACAAAAAAGTCAACTCTGAAATATCTAGGTCACCACAAGGTCCAAGACCCATGAGGCTACCTCTAAGTCAACCAACCAGAGGTGAGCCTCCATACCAAAGGCTGGAGGAGTAGAACCCCCAAAGAAGCTAGAGCTGGGGGAAGTCCCACTCAGAGCAGTTGGGTAGGAGCCTCTCCTCAGTAATTAGGCAAAGGACAATTATT